ACTTATTTGATGTATTTGGCTAATAAATCGAGTAAGACACTTTAAAAACCACGTCATTTAAGTGAAAACCACGGCTAGCCAAGTTTTATGCCGTTTTGAATGATTTTTGTCAAACGACCAAAAGCGAGAGATGGTTTTCAAGGTGTTTTTGTTGGAGAACCGTTTAAACATGCCAAAGAGTAAAAACCAATCATAAAAAGTTGAAAACCACTTGGTTGGTTCGGACGCCAAAAACCATAGCCGATAACCGAGAGCCGAACGCCAGTTTCTGAAACCCGAACGCTGGATGGCTTGGTTTTTGGTTTGGGCGAACACCAAGTGTTTTTAATGACTTAAATATGTTTGAAAAGAATTTTTATGATTTAAGAAGTGCAATGAAGGTTTTTTAGCCTAAAGATCCAAGGTGTAAAGATTGGGTCGGTCTTGATCACAATGAAGACCGACTCAACGACACTAAGACTAAGGTCTTCGTTCTTGGTCTTCTTTTAGCTCGTGTTCTTGTCTTCCTTCTTCGCCTTGTATATTCAAAGTTTGACTTGATCACGGCGGTTTGGCATTATCAAAACCTGTCATAAAAACAAACACGGCTTTAGTACGAAAACGTGACATGCCCGTGTTTCAACAGTGTCCCTCTAAGCTCAAAAGATGAGTCGGGCGCAGTCTCATTAATCCAATCATCAAATTTGGGTGATTGGTAAAAAAAACATTTATGTCATTGTTCAAGCCAACAACCCCAAAAAAATATACCAAAATCATAGGTCATTTGAAGTCACTGCTTTGAGCATAATTATAGGTTTGAGATGATAACCCCGTGAGTATTGACCATGCCTCATAGTGGGAAAGTTTTTTCATTCCCAATATGTGCAATCGATGCTCCTAAGTATGCCTACACAGTCATGTCTAGCGGCATGCCTCGCCTTTAACTGTTCAATGTCGCTCGCTCTCAGCTTACGTAAAAACATCTCATGGTACAGTCGAATAATATTTTTAGAGAATTTATAGACACAAGACCTAATGTTTCGAGTCGATATCTTCAAGTTTTCGTCAAGCATATCCCTAGTGCTTTCGTACGCTATCTGACAAAGCGTGGCGTCTCACTTTTAGACGCTCTTAAAACCACGACAACCTCTTGCATGACTTGTTGGATGAACCAAGGCATCTCCCGCTCAATATCGTGTGTTAAAGTAATCGTTAAATAGTGCTTCACACACAGCCCCTGGTCACGGTCCAAACGCTCACCCCTAGTTAAGCACCTTGATGATCCTGCTTCTTGTGCCATCATGCCTTGATAACATCCCGTCAAGACAACACGAGAGACAAATGTTTTTCTCTCATCGTTGGATGAAGATGATGCTCCCAATCCTTTAATATAAAATAGATAGTATCTTTTAGGTTGATTGAAGAGAGAATGAGAATATATTTTAGATGCATGTTTATATAAAAAAAAGTGGGTATTTATAATTGTAAATGAAAAAAGGAAATATTTTTTTAACGTAGCCAACGACTACTTTTTTAAATATGTGGACTCTTTAGGGGGGGGCTCTTTTTCTTCCTTTCTTACATGTCAAATATTTAACGCACCAGCCATAATGCCGGATTAACCCTTGTGGGTGCGATGGTTAACGCCATAATGGGAGTAATAATTTGTTGCTAAATACCGCTTATTGCTTATAGTATTAATGCAGAGTTAATACTATGGCTAGCTTTATAAGTGCCTATACGGGTCACACACTTTGGACAATTTAAGGAGTAGGATTAAACAATGGGATAATAAGTAATTTGTATATTTGTAAAAATAGTAAAATAAAATATTTTGTAATATAATATTATATATATAAATATTCGGTTATATATATATATTATATATATGTGCCGATATATATATATATATATATATATATATATATATATATATATATATATAATATTGAATATTTTATTTTGGTTTGTCATTCTAATTATGAAAATAATTATTTTGACATAAATTATTTGAAGTATATTTTATACTTGTTTAAAAAATGATATTGGTATTTTTATTTGAATTAAAATTAATTTTATATTAATTTTTGGTGTCAAATAAAATACACTTTGAACACTTAAGTGGAGAAGAATTTTACAAATCCTTCTCACATGATTTTTTCGGCCAAATGACATCTTAAAGAATCAAATTTTTGTTTGATTGATTTTGAGTGGATCTAATCTTTTTTTGTCACTTAGTTAATGACAAAGTCAAATTTTACATCCCCTTTTCTCCTTAAAAATATGGGCACGCCACTTTGATCAAGGTGGTGAAACAAATTAGGCTATTAATTTTAAGAGAGAGAAAGTGATTATTTTGTGTATAGAAAATATGTTTAATATTTTCTAAATATTACTAGAAATATTTTCTATAGAAATATACAAGATTATTATTATCCCCAATTTTAATCTTTATATTTTATACTACTATAATCTTTACTAGCATAAAGATTGTGGTAGACTCCGGTGTTGTTCGTGTGTCAAAGTTGGAGACCGGACGCTTGAACGGTTACGTTTGCACTTTCAACGCTATTCCTACGACTTCTTCGTTTTTACCGCTTACGGAGAAAGTTATAAATTTCTTACTACTATAAGTTTTAGTACGTGATTCTAGGCAAGATAATCATGTTAGGATGTTAAAATTTTTATATTCCGCTGCCTATCCTTGCATTGTTTCCTTTATATATGTGTGTGTGTGTGTGTGTGTATGAAAGTTCCTAAAGGCCTAAAATTGCCTGAGGTTTCAAAACCTCGAGAGATATTTTCTATAAAATTGGAAAAGTCACTATATGGATTAAAATAATCTGGCAGAATGTGGTATAATCGTCCGAGTGAGTATCTACTCAGAGAAGGATATAAAAACAATCTAATTAGTCCATGCGTTTTCATCCGTAAGTCCAAATCAGGATTTGCCATAATTGGAGTATATGTTGATGATTTAAACATCATTGGAACTTCTGATGAAATAGAAAATTCTGCAAAATATCTAATGAAAGAATTTGAGATGAAAGATCTTCGGATAACAAAATTTTGTCTTGGTCTTTTCAAATTGACCATTTGAAAGACGGAATATTCATCCAACAGTCAAATTACACGAAGAAGGTTCTGAAGCGGTTTTATATGGATAAAGCACATCATCTTACATCCCCGATGGTTGTTTGCTCTCTCAATGTACATGATGATCCGTTCCAACCTCGTGAATATGATGAAGAAATACTCGGTCTAGAAATACCATACGTGAGTGCTATTAGAGCTTTGATGTAACGCCCTCAAACCGGCCTAGTTTTTAAATAAATAACTATTATTTATTTATTGAGACTCATTGTTTTAAATAATAAATATTGAGATTTTGATCTCATTAGATGAACTTCAAAAGTTAATGTGTTTTAAATATAAAATGATGTTTTAATAACGGACCTCTCAGCATTAATTAAATAAATAAATTAATAATTGGGGTGGACCCGTAAGTTCGAAAATAAAGTTCTTAGAAAAATTATTTGAACATGTAATTAATTTCGTTTTGACTGTCTGATTCCGGAAACACAAACGGATCTCAATTCGAACCCGTTTGGGGGAAAACCGCATACCGTTCACGTCAGATTTTTACATAACGGAGTAAATAAATATTTGTAACTCTCCATTTAATCATTCCTCACGCCACAACCTCACCACACCATTCATTCCCATTAAGTTTTTTCATTATGTCTCCATTATTTTTATTTAATATAAAGCTCCCTTTCCTCTTCATTTCCCCCATCACCCTTGTAACCCCCATTCAACATCATACACGCAACCCTCCCCTTTCCCTTCTCTTGTTCAGAAAACCAAGGCAGCCAGGCGAGGAGACCATTCCGAAAAGTAGATAGGGAGGTAGAAGAAGGAAGTTCACGCAAGAAGTTCGTCCAATCGTCGTTCTCAACCGTTCGTTCGTCTCATCATTCCGTCAACCCTTTCGTTTAGAAGTGAGTAGTTGTTCCCTCTAATTCTAGAACATTTAGTTATAATCTATGTCGTTATATTCCTAGGAATATCATACGCAACCTACGTAGAATCTATGCATGTTCGTAGGTTAGCCATCAAAACGTTACCACGTAAAACTTATATATAATGGCCTAGGAATCACTAGGAATATATTCATCAATGTTGTAATATTGTTTTAAAAAGAATCAAGGTGTTAAGTTTTCAAAATGAACCAAAACGAAGCCAAAGTCAGTGGACTGTCTATGGGACGGTCGACCGCCGCTAAGGACGGTGGACCGTTTCCCTTGACCGTCCGTCGGCCACCACCATGACGGTCGACCTCTGGCCGCGACGGAAGACCGGGGTGGACCGTCGGCGTTCCAGACCTCCGTTGGTAGGGTACGGTCGACCGTTTCACGGGCAGTTTTTAGAACGAGTCCTGTTGACCACGTTGACCCAGAATCTAATAGTTTGTTGCATGAAATGTTAATCTTCATTATTTATGTTATTTAATTTATATATTCTAGGCGTTGACCAAAGGTAAATATATCAAGCATTCATAATGTTCATTCTAGACGCATGTCCTAGGTTTTTCATCATGTGCATGCCGCTGTAGGGAGGTCAGGCTTTCGTGCGCCTACTACAGTGGGCCCGTCTAGGAACCTTTGGGATCCAACAGGTTTTCATCAGGTGGGATTTGTGTACGTACAGGGTAGTCAGGCTACGGCTACCACCCGATTTTTGCTAGTCCACTTGTTCACGACTCATTACCGTTTCGGTATGACAACCAGAGTGCAGGGGTGATCCCGTCAAGTGAGACTAAGCCAGGGGTGTCCCTGATAGTTTAAGTCTTGCATCAAGTCATATCGTCATCATGTATTTTCCACGTCACATCAGCATTCAATGTGGTTATACATCATTTTGTTATATGTAATAATACCCCAACAGGTGCAAACTAAACAGTTACTAAACATGTGGTTTTCCGTACGTTAGGTACAGGTATTATTATGTGCATAACTGATGAATGAGTTTTTCGGTAAGTCAACCTTCCCAATGAAGGGTTAATTTTCTCCGAGTGTCGTGTCTCTCGAGAAGTGGACAAAGGAAATTAGTTAATTTTTATAACTAGACGAAGGTTTGGACAGGTTTGAAAGTCTTCTCTTTTCGATTTGATAATAAAAATAAACTAAATTATTGGATGCTTTTTGACAAAGAAAATAAATAGTACGGGTATAAGACTAGATTTTGGGCCAAGGCATCATCTGGGTTAACTACTGTTGTCACATATTTAATCAATAATTAGAATAAATATATTTCTGTCACAAATATTTCATTAACTTATCCTCCTTCAAGGTATCATTAATGTGTTCTAAAAAGTTTGGCTTAATTAATTTTAAATCCTCATGGACAAGGCAAAAACTAATTTCCAATTATTAATTAATTTTTCTCTCGACATAATTAATTAATTTAATAATAAAAATAATTCTAGAACAATTATTCCAACTATTAACTAAACATACAGAGTATATGCTCAAATTTAGCCAAGACCCTAATTCGGGCCCTAACCCCTACTAGATATTAACAGTGCATGAAATAAAAGAACATTTTATTAAAAATTGTAAAAATAAACTTACAACCGAGAGTAGAGTCGAGGCCATTTCAGGACAACCGGAACAAAACTAAACTAAAAATATAAAAATATAACTGAAAATGGGGTTAGAAAGGAGGTCGGGGCGTTAGACGACCCGGAGGAAGCTGGTTATTGAACTTCCACTGAGCCGCGCCTTAAATAGGCAGAAAAATTTCCGGGGCTGGCTCTGGGGCGGCCACCCGGCACAGTTAGTGCGGATGACAGCTGCAAATTCTGAGACTTGCGTCTCCTTCCCTTTGTTTCCCTTTTTATCAACTTGTGCTTTCCCCTTTTTATTTTTTTTATAGGATGAATTGATGATGATTGATGATGGCGGCTAGACATCCACTTGTTCGCTGCTGTAGTTGGCCGGCCAGCCAGGTCGCGCCACGTGGCAGCGCCTGGTTGGCCGGATTTTGATCTGATCTGAAAGATTTTTCTAAAAATGCTATTTTGCTCAAAATTTTATTCTGAACAATTTTTCCTTCTGCGCCGACTTCAAATTCCGAACCAATTTGGGTCAAACGAATTAATTTGAATCAAAACAACTTTTTTTTTAACTTTTTCTTTTCAAACAATTTCTTTTTCAATCCGTTTGAGCTCAAATCTCTTGATGGGGTACATCTGAACAATTGAATATACAATTTTCACTTCAAGGATTTTCACCATCTTTTGTCTCCTTTGCTCCGCTGCATTCCATTTGCACAATCTTTTACCTTTTCGTATCACTTTTGACTCAATTTTTACTATTTTTAAAACTAGACATAACTTTTGTGCACTTTTACAATTATTAATAAAAACTTATAAAAACCATTGAGAAATTGATTTATTTGATCCAAAATTGGACAACAACACGTTAAATATAGAGAAGATAAGTGCGTACAAAACAGACTTATCAAATTCCCCACACTTAAGCGTTGTTTGCCCTCAAGCAACAAAGTACAACAACAAATGAGATTTTGGATCAAACACTTAATAAAAAGATTTTGGAAAAACAATTGACCAGACTTTTTAAACAATTTATTGCACGAAACTTTTTTACATTATTTAATCTTAAAAGAAATAGAACTACTAGAAATATCACCCTTTTTACAAAGAAGTTAGCAAAATATTTTTATTTGTTTTTCTAAAAGATGCACATAAATTAATTTTATTGGCTAAATGTAAAAGTTGTCCATTTACAAACTTGGATACCAATGTTTAAAACAAAAGGATTGTAAGTGTTTTATAATAACTGCAAAATAATTTAAGGTTAAAAATATGTACATTGAAAAAAAATTAAAAATAACTTTTCTGAAAATATCATTTATTCCTATGCAAAGAGTAAGTTTGGATTTTTTTGTAGAACTTCACTTTGTCATGTTGACACAAGCAAAAACTTTGATCCTCATCCCATGACATAGAACCAAGAGCTTTTTGGATTTTTATTCACTCAAAAACCTCATCACACGACATGGAACCGCAGGCTTTTTGGCACTCACTTCAAAATAAGTCTCATCATCTGACACAGAACCAGATGTTTTTTGACTTTTTAATTCACTCCAAAACTTGGTCTCACCAAAGGGTGTTCTTTGAATTTTTTGATTTTTGATTTTTGATTTTTTTTCAAAACTTACAATGCAATCATTGAAATATCAAATTTTCAGAAAAATATACTGCTCATACTCAATTTGAAGTAGTGAAACAACATTATTTTAAATGACAAGTTACAAATGTCTGACCTTAACGTATTTTACGAGTTAATATTTATTCACTAAAACAATGATTTTATTTTCAACACATTAGTATCCAAATTTATTTATTTACAAAACTTATTAAAGTTAGCCAATAAAAAGACTATGTGCAATTCAAAGAAAAATATTTTAAAATTTTGGCTAATTTTTGCATAAGGTGGCTATTAAAAATAATTCTATCTTTGGTAAGAGTAAAAAGAAATGTAAAACAATTTTAAAAATATCAATAGTGATAACTAGACCGATTTAGAGTATTCGGGATCAGGCAGAATGCTGCCAATTAGGTGCTCTTAGGCTCACCCGAATAAACCTTTCTACGAAATGACCGAGTAGGAATGGTGGGACAAGTTCGGCTCCCGAAGGCATCACCCTTTGCGTCCACTTAAGTACCATTCCAGCTTAGACAGTCATTCCGTACACGGTGCAGAGATCACTATTAATATACAAAATGCAACAAAGAGTATAAAAATATTTTCAAAAGGTTTTCCTAAACAAATAAAAATATTCTGTACCAAACTCCAATGTCCCCACACTTAGGGTTGACCTCGCCCTCGAGGTCATTAAGCGATAAGAATAGGAGTTTGGGACAGAGACAATTCTCAATTTTTTTGAAAAGATTTTTACAAAAAAAAATTATGCACAAAAGTTAGTCATTTCTTTTTTTTGTTGAGTCAAAATGGTTCACCAGCATTCCTAATTCCAAGCTCCACCTGCACACACAAACACACAAAAACACGTAAAAAGGAAAAAGAAAAATAAAATTTATTCACTTGGGTTGCCTCCCAAGAAGCGCTTCTTTAACGTCACTAGCTTGATGTTAGCCCGTTTTTTACGAGACTTACCGATCCTAGAGTCATAAAGTTTGACCTTTTTTACTCTCTTCTGATGCCACCTTTGTTTTATTTTTTCCAGCCAAAGTCCAGGATCTCTGACTCATTCCTACGGCGTGATGGCAACAGAAAAAATGGACACTCGTCTTGGATGGATGGTGGTGGGAGTCTCCTCGGTGTATCCACATCATTGGCCTTCAGTGCCAGGATCTGATTTTCCAAGTCCTCAATAGGCTGACTTTTTGTTGATGGCTCGATGATTACGGCATGTCCTTCCCCTGAGTCTTCAGTGTCGCTCATCAAGAGTTCGTCCCAGCTCATTTGACTATAACTTTCATTCAGGTAAGAATGGTCGTACCCGTCAAGTAGGGAGTCAAAGAAGGCTTCGTCCGAATCTTCAAGTGAGACTTCAGCATTAAGAACTTCTATAGACGGGATGGATTCAACATCACATAATAGTTCCTCGTCTATAGATTGTTCAGACTCATCAGTATCAAGGGGGTTGGTGGTGGGCTTAGATTTCTCCAGAACAGGTTCCTCTAGAGAAGTGTCTTCAACACATGTAAGGAGGACAGGTTCCTCCAACATTTCTAGTGCAGCTGGTGAAGGCGATTCTGAGACAGGACCCTCGGTATGCTTCACCTCTTGTACGATTTGACTTTTTGGACTTTCAGGAAGCATCATCATTGTACCACGTGCAATCATTTCTGCAAGTGTTATCTTTTTTTCGATATATAGTGGTGATGGAGTTTGTGGATATTCAAGAATCGAGACATTGTTGGATTCAGTTTCAGATTTTGTCTCAGATTCTTTGTCCTCTTCTAGAGCAACAACTTTCCCCATCTGAATCTGGAGAGTTTGTTGTTCCATAGCCTTCTTAAAATCTTCCAGCATCTTTTGCATCTGCTCCAAATGTTCGCGTTGTTCGCTTTCAAACTTCAACTCTTTCTGGATTTGGAGCATTTTCTTTTGTTCTAGGACTTTTTTAAGAAATTGTTCTCTCGCCAGGATTGCATCTCTGTTTGCTTCGATTTTCTCTTCACAAGTCAGAGAGTAATCAGGACAATAGGGTGGTTCAAATGATGAACACTCTACCGCTAATGCTAGTCAAGATTACGCATTCTTTCCTCGGTCCACAGAATCTCTTCAATGCGTGGATCTGGCTGGTCATCGTACATCGGCCCTTGCTGGTCATAATCATCTTGATCACCATGAGGTTCATAGTAATCCCCACAGTTGTCTTGGTATGGAGAATATCCAAAGCTCCGAGACGGGGTATTGTATGGTGGTTCCTCATGGTATGGGTAATAATCAGGTCCATTATTGACTGAGTAGTCGTCATAATAGGAGTCCTGATGTGGATAGTAGTTGGACTGTTGTGGGTAGTAATTAGACTGTTGGGAGAATGATGGTGGGTGGTTGGGTGGTTGGTAGAAATGAGGTGGATCGTAGTAATCATCTCGAAAATTTATTTTTAATGATTACTACGGGTGGTTTGTGGAAAGGAAGTACGAAGATCGACCTAACCGGTCTTCACCCAAGCTAATTAAAAAAATTAAACTAAAACCGTGCCACACCCTGGCAACAACTCCATTTGATGAATGAGTTTTTCGGTAAGTCAACCTTCCCAATGAAGGGTTAGTTTTCTCCGAATGTCGTGTCTCTCAAGGAGTAGACGAAGGAAATTAGTTAATTTTTATAACTAGACGAAGGTTTGGACAGGTTTGAAAGTCTTCTCTTTTCGATTTGATAATAAAAATAAACTGAATTATTGGATGTTTTTTGACAAAGAAAATAAATAGTACGGGTATAGGACTAGATTTTGGGTCAAGGCATCATCTAGGTTAACTACTGTTGTCACATATTTAATCAATAATTGGAATAAATATATTTCTGTCACAAATATTTCATTAACTTATCCTCCTTCAAGGTATCATTAATGTGTTCTAAAAAGTTTGGCTTAATTAATTTTAAATCCTCATGGACAAGGCAAAAACTAATTTCCAATTATTAATTAATTTTTTTCTCGACATAATTAATTAATTTAACAATAAAAATAATTCTAGAACAATTATTCCAACTATTAACTAAACATACAGAGTATATGCCTGATGGTGTAAATTACTTGACCGGTGAAACTACACTAGACCGGGTCTAGAATAGTCTGCTTGATTTGGTAAAGTAAGAAAGGTAAAAACACGCAGATTGACCGGTAGGACTTTAGGTGAAACACCTGTAGCCCAATTTATATTATAACGGAGAATGCACGGGTGCTTTTACAAGGGAGTTTAGAGAGAATGAATTCGGAACCCTCTTTCTGAGGTTTACATGAGTATTTATACTAGGCTATGGGGGATAAGACCACGTGCGCCCACGTGGGGGCACGATGTTGATGTGGTGCGAGGTGACTGGTTTCGTCCTTGAGCTGCCTTGTCGCCTTGTGAGGGGGATTATTCCATTTGTCGAGTAGTGCCTTGGATGGATTCTTCAGCATCTCCAGTTGTCCTCTACTGACATGGGTCGCTACACGCCAAGCCCTCTTAGATTCTCTTCTGCCGACACTTTCCAACCCTAGAAACTACACCGGGTAATCTCGGAGGGATGAATTCATCGAAGTCTGGGAATAAATAGGGTGACAACGTAGTTTGACCGGTATACTTTTTCGTGAAGTATACCGGTCATCTTTTGGCCGATTACATATCGATTTGCAGACGATTTAAGTCTCCCTTCCAAAACTTTCGAGATTGACCGGTCAACTAATTGGTCTCCTCCTTTGACCGGTCGTGGGTGGAGTACACCCATCAATTAGCCCTCCACTTCTCGGTCATGCAATTTGCCATGAGCGGGAAGTAAAAAGTCTAAAACGGGACCTCAAATTCGAATTTCAGGCTTTTTCCCGCCCGAAAATCTCAAAATTTGAATTTGAACTCAGAGCTTTGACATGTGTTGGACACACGTCGTTGCAACGGTCGGCGGCCCACCCGTCGTTTCCCCTGCCAGTGGGTCATCATTGCGCCTCCTGACGCGGCGCAACCTGAAGAGGCCACGTCGTCTGATTCGGCTTCCTCCCTCCTATATAAAGACCTCCAACCCCCTTCACTTCTCACTTTTCGCACTTCGCCTTTTAGAGCTTTCACTGGTCAAGCTCCTCTCTCTCGCTATCCAGCCCTCCGAGCCAAGTAAGTTTCCCCTTCCTTCTCTACTTTCCCGGTCATGTCTTCTTTTAGCGATAGGATCTCTTCCTCTGAGGACTCCAACTCCTCTTCCTCTACCGGGTCTTCTTCTCTTGACTCCATGCCCGGTCAGACTCCTAACTCCCCTGTCCCCGACCCGCAACCTGTTAATCAGATGCCCGGTGAAGTTTTCATGGGGAGGGATGACCCGGTTGATGACGAACCGGGTCCCTATGACCCTGAAAACGAAACTCGGGATGCGTGGGAGGAGCGGCTTCATGCTGCCGGTTACTTTCCGCTCCCCACCTTCTACGTCCTTGACATCCCTTCCCATGTATCCAAAATTGCCTTGAATAAAATTCGTAAGAGGCTCCCGGATGGGTATACCCTCTTGTATGAACCTAACTGGCCGAACATTGTTGAACCCCACCGGGAGGACACGATAGGGTTCCACACCATATCACTGGATGCGGGCATCGTTTTTCCCCTTCGCCCCCTCCTTACCGAAGTCTGTCATGCGTTTAGGATTTTGCCCGGCCAAATAACACTTAACGCCCACCGGTATCTCCATTCCTTTGTAAATATCTGTACTCATATGAAAATCTTCCCCTCTTTGCATCTTTTCCTTTTTTGCTTTGAAGTCCTACCGGGCGGGACTGGCTGCGAAGGTTTTGTATTCTTCAAAGCCTGTACCGGTAGGAAGTTCATTTCCGAAGTCTCCCAGATTAACCAGGGATGGAAGGAAAAATTTGTTTTCATCGAGTTTCCCCCCTTTGTCACTCCTTTGGCCGGTCTGAAATGGAACGACCACCTCCTCGACCAAGAGTACGCTGCACCGGCTTCCTCCCCTGACTTGGAAGCGAATCTTGAGGTCCTCATGCGTGGGGATCCTCTAACCGAGAGGATCTTCCATCAAGGCAGCTGGGTTTGGAGGGTGGAGTCGGGTGGTGAGGGTACCTCCCAGGCCCAGGAAGCAGCGGGGCGCGGGGTACCCTCCCCGGGCAACACTGCAGAGGCTGAGGGTCAGAACCACCCAGGTGTGTGTGTGTGTGTGTGTGTGTGTATATATATATATATATATATATTTGTTTTCCTTGTGATTGGCGCTTTGACTAGTTTCGTTTCTTGTACATAACGATTTTAGCTCCTTTTGCAGATATGGAGTTCGAGGAGTTCGCCATCCCCGACGACCGACCAGCGGGAGAGACCGGGGGCTCCCAAGCCCACACTGCCAAAACCTTCCCGGTCAATCCAGAGACCGTGGAAATTCTTGATGAGGACGAGCCCCAAGACAACCGGTCTAAGGGGAAGGAAAAGGAAAAGACCGGTCGACGGACGAAGAAGGTGGCAACCACGCACCCTTCTTATGCCAAGAAGAGGGAAAGGTCGGATCCCGAGCCGGCCGGTCAGACCATCAAAGAGGCCTTCATCAATCTGGGGCTGAGGCTGAAGGAGGTAAGTCATGCTGCTATCCCGATCTTGATCTTCTTTTTCCTTTGTCGAGAAACTTACCGGGCTATTTCTTTCCTGTACAGGCGGGGGAGATTGGGCCGCATACAGTGGACCGGTTGGGGATGAGTTCCCCTTCCGAAGTCGACCGGCTGAAGAAGGAGAAAGAAAAGATGGCCCTCATCCTGAAGAGCCAGGCTGATGAGTTGATCAGGCTGTCTGGGCTGGCCGGGGCAATGAAGACCGAGATCTCCCCGCTGAAGGAGGAGAATGGTCGGCTCCTGGATGAAGTCTCTGAAGCCAAGAGGGAAGCAGCGGAGAAAGAAGAAGCCTTCCCCGGGCGCGCAATCGTCTAGGTTGAGGAGAACAAAGCCGCTGTTGCCCGGGTGATGACGGCGACACCAGAAGCCACGATGGAGTCCTTCAGGCTTCTGTACCGGGAGCCTGAAGGGAAGAAGATGATTACCGTTGTTGGATCTTTTGGATTCAAGTGCGGTCAAAAGAAAGACCGGGCTGCTTCTCATCGGATCTTGAAGAAAAGGGACCCGGACTTCACTCCAGCTTCATACGGCCTGGCTCCCATCCCAGAGAAAGAGCCGATTCCCCCATTTCCCCTTGACTGATCTCCCCGGCTGCGCCCGGTTGAACTATTTTATGTAAACTTCGAACCCATTTCCCCGGGAATGCCCGGTGTATCTGTAAACACTTAACTTTCTTATTTCATTTGAATGTCATGTTTAATTTCCATACCGGTTGATCTTGCTTCTTGTTTCAAGTTTTCATTTTTGCTCCTTAGAATGTCTTCGTAAAAACTCTGACCGGTTATACTTTCCTGTAATCGAAATAGACCGGTTGAACTCCAACTTTTACTTTTGGATGTCTTCATCTTCGCTGGTCAACTTGAAAAAGTTTGACCGGCTAAACTTTACTTTGGCTTTTGGATGCCTTCATTTTTCCAGAGAATTTCTTCGATAAAGTACAGTTTGACCGGTAGGAACGCACTTTGTGGTCCGACCGGTCAACCACTTTGCCTTGAAGAACTTTCTGTTGTGCCCATACCCAACCGGGGTATTCTTTTTTTTTTTACCGCTAGGTTGTAGATGGAAACACCTGTAACCTAGTAATTCTTGAAGTATCCTTAACCGGTAAGAATACTGGAGATTTAACCATGTCGAATGGTTTCGAACCCTCTCCAAGGTTCAAATGCACCCTTCTTCCAGGGCCCCCTCTTCCGGGTGATTAAGTCTTTTAATGGCCCTTTAATTTCTACTATCCCGAGAAGGCCTTAGCTCACCCCCCGTTCAAGTCTTCCATGGGAAGGGGCAAACAGGATGCACCACGGTGGACGATCCCCTTCTATATCTTTTAATGGGCATCTTTTAGTCCCCAATCAATTTGACGGTACCAGCTGATTCCCCGATACCGGTCAAACCTCATGGGCCCGTGTAAGTACGGTTCGAACCTTCTTCCAGGTCCAGCCTTCTTGCAGGCATACCCTCTTCCGGGCCCCTCTTCCAGGTTTTAATATTTTTCTCTTGTACTGAGCAAGACCGGTGTAGTAACCAACGTGCCAGGTCCGAGCTTGTGTCTCAGTTGGCTTATCCGAGTGGATCCGATATGGATAGGTTCGACTTATCAATTTTTTGCTGCTGCCATGTAGGATGCAGAATGTCATCAATTCGATTGATAATAAAAGTAGGCCTAGCCTAGTATTACAATCATTTGTAGAACTTGCGAAGATGATGGGAATTCCAAGTTCTTTCTACCGGTACACCACCTAAAGTTTCTAGCCGGTAGGTTCCTAGGCGAACGATGGCCCTAACCCTGTATGGGCCTTCCCAGTTTTTTGCCAGCTTTCCTCCATCTCCAGGTCTACTCACTTCTCTTCTTCGTAGGACTTCATCTCCAACTTGGAAGTACCGCGGCCCAACCTTGTTGTCATGGTACTTCTTCACAACTTGTTGGTATGTACTCATTCTCACCTCTGCTGCCATCCTTCGTTCCTCGACCAAGTTGAGCTCGGCTAGGTGGTCGTCTTCATTTTGTTGGGGTTGATAATTTGATTCCCGGAACGTTGGGAATTCAGCTTCGATGGGCAGCCTTGCTTCACACCCATAGGTTAGGGAGAATGGAGTTTCCCCGTGAGCCCTCCTGGGTGTTACTCGGAACGCCCATACGATGTGTGGGAGCTCTTCCAGCCACTTGTTCCCTACCTCTCCTAGCCCTTTCTTCAGACCATCCACAATTGTCCTGTTGGCGTTTTCGACTTGGCCATTTCCTTGGGGGTACGCCACCGAAGAGCGATTGTGCTTAATCCCGAAGCCCTCCAAGTATTCGGTGAACCTTGGATTTCTGAATTGTGGGCCGTTGTCGGTGATGAGGTTCATGGGCGCTCCAAACCTCGTGATGATGTTCTTCCAAATGAATTTCTTGCATTGCTGCGTGGTGATGTTGGCCAATGCCTCGGCCTCGATCCATTTGGTGAAGTAATCGATGGCTACGATTACGAACTTCTTCCCTCATTGGGCGACTGGGAAGGCTCCAATGATATCAACCCCGAATCTAGCGAATGGGATGACATTCGATACGGGGTGATAGTAGGTCGCTGGTCTACCGGGATACTTGTAGAACACTTGGCATGTTCGGCATTTCTGAACATACCTTTCACAATCCTGGACAATTGTTGGCCAGTAATACCCCAATAAGATGATGCGCTGGGAAAGTGTACGGGACATTTGATGCGCCGCGCATACGCCTTCGTGGACATCCGCTATGACTCGCTCAGCCTCCCGGTTGGTCAGACATCTCAGGAGTGGCCCCCCAAATGCCCTTTTATACAGCCTTCCATCAAGAACCTGGAATCGGGGTGCCCTGAGCTTCACTTTTCTTGCCCGGTCATCTTGTTCTGGCAAGCTCCCATCAATCAAATATTCCATCAGATCATACATCCAATGATCGTCCGCCCCGACCAGGTTTGACCGGTCAGATTGGCTTCCGGCCATTATAGCGGCGACTTCCAGTCTCTCGATGCTTGCACGGTCCAGGATTTCCACCCAGGCAAGTTTCGAAACATGTTCGGGAGCATACTGCGTCAACTTGGAGAGAAGGTCTGCGTCTGCGTTCTCCGCCCGGGGAATTTGGGCGATCTTGAACTCTTCGAAACCTTTCAACAGGGCAAGTACAAGGTCCTTATATTGTGCCATGCGTCCTTCTCTTGCCTCCATGTTGCCGGTCACTTGCCCAACGATCAGGCTAGAGTCAGATTTGATACTAACCTGGCTGATTTTCAGGGCTTGGGCAAGTCTGAGCGCTCCAGTCAGAGCTTCGTATTCTGCCTCATTGTTTGTCAGCTTGAAGTTGAAGACGATTGCATGGTAGATCTTGAACCCTTCTGGGGTGGTGAAAACGATACCACCCCCATATCCTCTAGGACCAGATGCCCCATCAACTGCCATCTCCCACCATTGCTCAGTGGGCTTGTTGACCGGTAGGTCTGGAGTTAGACCGGTCATTTCTACCAGGAAGTCAGCAAGGGCTTGTCCCTTGATTGCTGACCTTGGTCGGTACTCAATGTTGAATTGAGTTAACATCATCGCCCACTTCACCATCTTCCCGGAGGATGTTGAATTTTGCAACACTGCACCCAGCGGTTGGTCAGTCAAGACTTCCACCGGTTCAGCTTGGAAGTAGGATGTTAACTTTTTTGCGGAGATGAAAAGCGCATAGGCTATCTTTTCCATCGCCGTATACCTACTCTCAGCTCCGTTTAGTGCTTTGCTCACATAATAAATGGGATTTTGTGCCCCATCATCTCTTATTAAAATGGAGCTTACAGCATTTGGGGAAATTCCCAGGTACAGATATAGAGTTTCACCCGGTTCGGGTTTAGACAATACAATATCAACGCTAGGTACTCTTTCAGCTCCTCAAATGCCCTCTGGAATTCTTCGTCCCATGCAAATGTGTTGGCCTTCTTCAGAACTTTGAAGAAGGGCAGGGATCTCTCAGCTGACCGGGAAAGGAACCGGCAGAGGGCCGCTAGACGACCGGTCAACTTTTGGACATCCCTAACGGAGGTAGGGGCCTGCATTTCAGTGATGGCCCGGATTTTTTCTAGGTTGGGCTCTATTCCTCTCTTGGTCACCATGAATCCCAGGAACTTCCCGGTGCGAACCGCGAAGACGCACTTCTTGGGATTTAACCAGAAGTTGTACCTTGCCATGATATCGAATGTGGCTCGCATATCAGCCGGGTGGTTGAGAGATACCTGGCTTTTGATCAGCATGTCGTCGACATATGCTTCCATGGTCTTTCCCAGTAGTGGCTTGAAGAGTTTGTTCACCATGCGCTGGTAGGTTGCCCCCGAGTTCTTCAAACCAAATGCCATTACCCGGTAGCAGTAGGTTCCTTCGGGTGTGAGGAATGACGTCTTCTCTTCATCTTCCTTGGCCATGTAGATTTGGTGGTAACCCTTGAAGGCATCCATAAAACTTAGGAGTTCGCACCCCGCAGTTTCGTCCACCATTTGATCTGGACTACGAAGGAGGTATGAATCCATCGGACAAGCCTTGTTCAAGTCCGTATAATCCACACACATTCTCCACGTGTCACCCTTGGGAGAAAGGACAACGTTGGCCAGCCAATCCGGGTATTTGACTTCCCGGATGTGACCAACACTGAGGAGGTCCTTCACTTCCTTCTTGACGAAGTCTCGCTGGTCACTGGCCAGGTATCGCTTCTTCTGACGTACCGGTCGACTTCCTTCACTTACGGCCAACCGGTGGCAGATAATAGAGCGATCTATTCCGGGCATATCCGCCACGCTCCATGCGAATATGCCCGCGTATTCTTGGAGGACCCGCGTAATCTCTGCCTTGAGACCCTCGGGGAGGTTTGCTCCAATTTTGACCATCCTCAAAGAATCACCCGGGTGAAGTTCGATTTCCACCGTCTCGGCCTCGGGCTCCAATTTCTCCCGGGTCTCTCCCTTTGTGATTTCTTGGGAGATGACATTGACCCCCTTGGTCATCTTCTTGACTGCCCGGGCATAGCACTCCGGGCATTCCTCTGGTCGCCTTTCACTTCACCCACACCGCCTGGAGTGTGGAACTTCATGCACAGGTGAGGCATGGAAATCACCGCCCCGACCTTATTGATGTACGGTCTCCCAAGGATCGCGTTGTGGACGCATTTAATGTCCACAACGATGAACCACATCTTCTTCCACACGGTCTTCTCACCTGATCCTAGTTCGACCGGTAGAACTATGGATCCTTCAGCTTCAACGGTGTCCCCCGTGAAGCCTGAGAGAGGAGTTTTGAGGGGTTCAAGTTGTGTCCGACACAACCTGAGTTTTTGGAAAGTCTCCAGGTATAAGATGTTGACACTACTACCGGTGTCAACAAGTACCCGGGCGATATCCACCCCATTAATGTCCATGGTGATGACCAATGGATCATTGTGATCTTCACCGGTAGGAGGGAGATCTCGGTCAGTAAAGGCGATCGGCTCCCTTATAGTATGCTTACGCCTGGGCGGTTCAGCACTTACCTCACCAACGTAAATGCTCCGGACCAAGTTCTTCCGCTGCGCGGCTGAATCTCCACCCTCAGGTCCGCCGAAGATCATGCCGATGTACTCTTTTTCAGGAGCAGGTTGCCGCTCCCTGGGCCGGCTATTCCTCCGCCGGTCATTGTCCCGGTCATCTCCCGGGGCAGCTGGCCTAACCCATTGATGACTCTTCTCCTGGGCTTTCTGCAAGTAATCCTTGCCCAGCTCTCCACTGTCTATCATCTGCCGGATGACCCCCTTAACACTTTTGCATTCAGAGGTGTTATGAGAATCTGACCTGTGGTACGAACAATAGGTGCCCGACCACTGCCGCCCTGTTTGACCGGTAGGGTTTTCCGGAAGAATGACTGGTGCTTTCCGGATTTCTTGGCATTCTTCTGTATTGACCACACGGACAACCGGGTCATAGTGGTGTCTTGGCCGGCTAGGTCCTGGGGCTTCTTCCTTCTTGACTTGCACCGGCTTGGGCTTGTAACCATGCTCAGCTTCTTTCTTTGCTCGGAGTTGGGTTTCAGCCTCAGCAAACTCCCATGCAGTGTGGTAGGCCTCTTGGTACGTGGCCGGGGGTTTCCAGCAGAACTCCTTGTATAGTTCCCCGGCACGCAAGCCATTCAAGAGGAGGGATAAGACGGTCTTGTCATCCATCTCTTCCACCTTGTCTACCTCTTCCTTCCACCGGGTAAGGAACTGAGTAAGGTTCTCAGACTTTCTCTGCCCGGCTGTACTAAGATAGGTGAATTTCTTCCTCTTAGTACAATTCTCCTGGAACATGGCCTTGAACTTTGAGGCCAAATCACTAAACGAATCAATGCTTCCCGGGCGAAGCTTATTGAACCATTCAGTGGCTCGGTTTCGCAAGGTCTGGAAGAAAAGAAGGCACTTTTCTTCATCGGTGCAACCGTTCATGGTCGCACTCTGGTTGAAGGAGTCTAGATGGATTTCCGGATCTTCCTTCCCGGTGAATCTAGGGGCGTCGATCTTGACCTTTTGCGGGAAAGGTGTCAGATGGACTCTTGTGGTGAACGGGGACCCTGCCAGGGGTTTGTCCCGGTCATTCTTCTCTCCGACCTTCTTTTCCAGCCTCTCTAGTTTTGCCTCCATCTGCTGGACGCGGTCATTTGGGACGGTCAACCGGTTCGCCACCGGTAACCTAGGCTGGCTCTCTGCTTCCTCTTCCTGACAAGAGGCCCTCGTCCTTGCTCGCTCATTCCGGTTAGACCGGGAGCGCCGGGTGCGGGTAGGCTCGGCCTCCCGCACATCGCCTAGCCGGGCGAATGCGCTGACATGGGCAACGCTCTGCCCCAGCCTTTGCTTGGCTGACTACCTCTGGCCTTCCTCCCTATCCCCCAGCCTTTCGAAGGCGGAGTTTCGGGAGGTCGCTGGCCGGATGTTTTTTCATTTCTTCTTCTTGTGGGCCCTTGGAATGTCCCACTCTCCGTCATCACTCTCAATTGAGACGCAATGACCATCAAGGGTGACTTGCGGATTCGTACCTTGCGAGGGACGCGACGGCCCGGCAGCGTTAAGTGCGCCAGTCAAGTTGACACGGGCCATGGTACTGACCAGCTGCGGTTGGAAAGGTGATGGCTGCGGCATCGGCATCTGGAACGGCGTCACTACCATTGGAGCTTGTAGGGGCATGGATCCCATGCCTGGAAGAGCGAACGGGAACATACCAGGGAGAAAAGGCATTCCCCCTTTCTGTTGGCACATGGCCATGACCTTGCCAAAGCCCTGGATGGCCTGTAGGTTGGCTGGGTCATTCATGAACTGAGTCATGCTTGGTGGGAACGTGACCCTCGGTCCAGCGGAAGGGACGGGGGTCGTGAATGGGCTGATCACACTAGGCGTTGGGATAGAGCTCAGACCCAAAGGCAACACTGGGGCAGAAATGACCGGCAGGGTAGCAGCCACAGGGATGCTGGTGCCCTCATTGGTGGCTTGCACCTGAGTGGAAGTAGCGTTGATTTGCTGGCTGGAAGACATTTTGAGTGGTGTTTTTGTGGGTAGGTTTGTGTTTAGAAGAGAAGAAACCTTAACGGTCCCACGGTCGGCGCCAAAAATGATGGTGTAAATTACTTGACCGGTCAGACTACACTAAACCGGGTCTAGAATAGTCTGCTTGATTTGGTAAAGTAAGAAAGGTAAAAACACGCAGATTGACCGGTAGGACTTTAGGTGGAACACCTGTAGCCCAATTTATATTATAACGGAGAATGCACGGGTGCCTTTACAAGGGAGTTTAGAGAGAATGAATTCGGATCCCTCTTTCTGAGGTTTACATGAGTATTTATACTAGGCTATGGGGGACAAGACCACGTGCGCCCACGTGGGGGCACGATGTTGATGTGGTGCGAGGTGACTGGTTTCGTCCTTGAGCTGCCTTGTCGCCTTGTGAGGGGGATTATTCCCTTTGTCGAGTAGTGCCTTGGATGGATTCTTCAGCATCTCTAGTTGTCCTCTACTGACATGGGTCGCTACACGCCAAGCCCTCTTAGATTCTCTTCTGCCGATACTTTCCAACCCTAGAAACTACACCGGGTAATCTCCGAGGGATGAATTCATCGAAGTCTAGGAATAAATAGAGTGACAACGTAGTTTGACCGGTATACTTTTTCGTGACGTATACCGGTCATCTTTTGGCTGATTACATATCGATTTGCAAACGATTTAAGTCTCCCTTCCAAAACTTTCGAGATTGACCGGTCAACTAATTGGTCTCCTCCTTTGACCGGTCGTGGGTAGAGTACACCCATCAATGCCCAAATTTAGCCAAGACCCTAATTCGGGCCCTAACCCCTACTAGATATTAACAGTGCATGAAATAAAAGAACATTTTATTAAAATTGTAAAAATAAAGTTACAACCGAGAGTAGAGCCAGGGCCACTTCGGGACAACCGGAACAAAACTAAACTAAAAATATAAAAATATAACTGAAAATGGGGTTAGAAAGGAGGTCCGGGCCTTAGAAGACCGGGAGGAAGCTGGTTATTGAACTTCTGCTGAGCCGCGCCTTAAATAGGCAGGAAAATTTCCGGGGCTGGCTCTGGGGCGGCCGCCCGGCACAGTTAGTGCGGATGACAGCTGCAAATTCTGAGACTTGCGTCTCCTTCCCTTTGTTTCCCTTTTTATCAACTTGTGTTTTCCCCTTTTTATTTTTTTTATAGGATGAATTGATGATGATTGATGATGGCGGCTGGACATCCACTTGTTCGCTGCTGTAGTTGGCCGGCCAGCCAGGTCGCGCCACGTGGCAGCGCCTGGTTGGCCGGATTTTGATCTGATTCGAAATATTTTTCTAAAAATGCTATCTTGCTCAAAATTTTATTTTGAACAATTTTTCCTTCTGCGCCGATTTCAAATTCCGAACCAATTTGGGTCAAACGAATTAATTTGAATCAAAACAACTTTTTTTTTAACTTTTTCTTTTCAAACAATTTCTTTTTCAATCCGTTTGACCTCAAATCTCTTGACGGGGTACATCTCCACAATTGAATATACAATTTTCACTTCAAGGATTTTCACCATCTTTTGTCTCCTTTGCTCCGCTGCATTCCATTTGCACAATCTTTTACCCTTTCGTACCACTTTTGACTCAATTTTTATTCTTTTTAAAACTAGACATAACTTTTGTGCATTTTTACAATTATGAATAAAAACTTATTAAAACCATTGAGAAATTGATTTATTTGATCCAAAATTGGACAACAACACGTTAAATATAGAGAAGATAAGTGCGTACAAAACGGACTTATCAATAACCATATGGGTTATCACTTCATGTTCTTTTGTTAGATTCACTCCTCAACTTTTGCTGAGCGTGTAGTTATTTTTGCTACACGCAGGTAGACATGACGATACAGGTGCTAACCTTGGAGGACAGTGATGATGGGAGGATGTGCGGTGCACGGACGAGCTCAATATTTAAATACATTTAATTAATTAATCATTTGGGCATGAACCCACCATTTGTCGTTTTACTTGTTTTGGACTTATTTATTTACTTCCGCTTCTACTCTGCATTTATATCACACACGTTTTGGAAATAACTCCCTAGAATTTATTCCACTAATTAAACACAATCGTTTTCATAATAAATAGACAATAATGTTCTTTTCGCTACGGACGGTTCTCGGACCGCCCATGTAACCCTACCGGTCCGTTGGGTCGCGGGTGAACCGGGTCCACGGAAGGCGGGTGTTACATTTGATGTATCTTGCAAACAACACTCGACCATATATTGCATTCTTAGTGAACTTGTTAGCCAAACACAGTTCGACCCCGACTAGGAGGCATTGGAATGACATTAAACACATTTTGCAATATCTCAATGGTACCATCAACCTTGGTGTTTTCTACCGCAAAGGTGCCAAGGCCACTCTTGTTGGATACGCTGATGCAAGATATTTGTCTGATCCACAAAAGGAAAAATCTCAAATAGGATATCTGTTTACTTAGGGAGATACCGCAATATCATGGAGATCGATGAAGCAAACTTCGACTTTCCACATCATCATATCACACATTGGTGATAGCTCTCTACGAAACATGTAGAGAATGTGTATGGTTGCGATCAATAATCCAACATATTTAGAGCAAGTGCAGTATAGAAATAATCACTAGTCATCCGACTCCTATATATGAAGACAACACTGCATACATCGCTCAAGTGAAAGGAGGTTACATAAAAGGAGACCGAACAAAGCATATATATATATATATCACCAAAGTTCTTCTCAACACATGATCTCGAGAAAGATGGAAAGGTTGACATCAAGCAAATGAAGTCCAGTGAGAACCCCGCTGATTTATTTACAAAAGCGTTGCTCCCGAAGAAATTTGAAGAACTCGTACACAAGATTGGCATGCGCTGCCTCCGTCAATTATGCTAAACTGAGGGGGAGAATTTTACGAGCTGTACTCTTTTTCCCTTGATCAGGTTTTTATTCCATTGAGTTTTCCTGACAAGGTTTTTAAAGAGGCAGTATATAAAATTAGAACGAGTTTCTAAACTATGCCCATTTCACGAAGTACCCATCATTAATTGAAAAAATGAACATTCAAGGAGGAGTATTATGAAATTAATTATTACAGGAGGAGTATTATGAAATTAATGATTGTTCATTTATTCAATTAATTAGGTCTACTTTCAAAAATATTAGATTAAGACACCCATTGTGGAGCAGTATTTTTATACAGTCTTTCCCACTTGTATTTGTATTTATACTAAGCTTCTCTACTATAAATAGAGACTGAGGAGGGTGTATTCAATTTAGATTTTAAAAGATTTTTATAGATAATTTAGAATCCATAGATTCTGCAAGTTCATTGGATTGTTTTAAGTTTACGCAGAGTTAGCTAGATTCTAATCTATTCTATCAAAGGATTTTATAGGATTATATTTTTTCTTTTCTTTTTTTCTTTTTTCTTTTTCTTTTCTTTTTTTCCTCCTTCCCCCATGAACCCTAGCTGCTTCTTCCATCCATCTACGTTCTTTCTATTTTATCTTTCCTTTTTTCTCTTTCTTTTCTTTTATTTTATTCCTTCTTCTTCCCTAGAAACTCTAGCCGCTCTCTCTTCTTCGATCTTCGTCCTTTCCTCTGCCCCTCTCTCTTCTTCGATCTTCGTCCTTTCCTCTGCCTAATTCGAGGGTCGCCGTCATCGTGGCTCCATGTTGAGTTGCCGCCATCGTTGTTCCACGTCGAGTCGCCATCGATTTCAATTGATGCTGCTCAAAATAGCACCAATCCTGCGTGACGATGAAGGATATTGGGCGAAGATTGGGTCACGAAACAATCACGTGTGACGATGAAGGATTCTCCAAGGAAGATTGGGGGAGAGATGGTAAAGGAGACAATCCTGCGTAGATTTGCAAAATCTTTGCATTTTTTGTGAGATTTTGGACTTAGATTTTAATTTATATCCAAAGCCCCAAATCCATCAAAATCCATATGTTATAGAAATCTTTTAAAATCAATTGATTTTTTAATACCATTATATTTAGAAGGATATATTAAAATCTGAATTGAATACCTTCAGATTTTAAATGACTTTTTTAAATCAGGATTGAATACTCATAGAATTTTGAAATCCAAAAAAATACTACAGAATCTATATTGAATACACCCCCTTAATATCCTTGCAAAGATACCGGTAAGATTAAGATTAATAGAATTTAGAAATATATCTATCTCTTATCTCTAGAGGTGTTCATTCGGTAAAACCGAACCGAACCAAACTGAAAATTCAGTAAATCGAAAATTCGGTAATTTATTTTTTGTACCAAATATCAAACTGAAATCAAATGGTTCAGTTCGGTAAAAACCAAATTAAATCCGTTTGGTAATCGGTTTTACCAAAAACCGAACATAAACCAAAATTTGAACTTTAAAAATCCATTACATTCTCCAAATTGAAAATAACAAAGCAGAAATAGATCCATTACATATAAGTTTATTACACTTTCCAAAGTTAAAATAACACAACACAATTGGAATTATTACATAAAATAAAAAAATAGTTGATACAAATAACACAATTATCCATTCCAAAAAAATATTTACCAGTATTATTAATTTGATGCTTTCCAATCTTCAATAACTCCAAATTTAGATAATAGGATTTAAAATTAGATGGTTGGATATTCATTATTTCAATATTGAGCTAGATATTGGATATTTGATTAAGTAGAAATGGGTAAAATTATACAGAAGTATTAAATAATTTCGGTATTTGGTTTTTACCGAAATACCGATTCTAAATTTTCTACCGAACTGAAAAGCAATTTTTTTCAAAATATGAGAATCGAATACCGAACCAAATTATTTGATTCGATTTTAGTAAGTATCGAATTGTGGGGGTTTAAGTAAGTATCAAAATACGGAACATTCGATTTCGGTTCGGTTCGGTCGGTTCACCAAATTGTGCACCCCCTAGGAATGAATACTTTATTGATTCTAAATAGAGTCCGGTTCCATGGCCACTGGATTCCAGTGGCTACGGAAGCCATTACCCCCTACGGATCTCCGTTCATAAAATTGATGATTCCTACCCCTCTAACCCCCCCTCCAAGTCCCGACCCAAACTAATCACGCCACCTACGTCAATTGCACCTCGTAAGTATAATTGACTTTAAAGTCAAAAGTTTTGACTTTATACTTACGAGGTGCAATTGACGTAAGTGGGGTGATTAGTTTGGTCGGAACTTGGCGGGGGGTTTACCGAGGAGCTAGAAGGGATAGAGATCATCAATTTTAAAAATGAAGATTAGTGGTCATGCAACCTAGCTCTTTTAAATAAACATTTTTGAGAGCTAAGCGGATTATTTTTACCTCTAACCCCCTCATAAACCCAATGGTACCACCCAATATATGAAACCTTACAAAGTATATAATTGCAAACCTTGCAGATTGCAGCCGATCTCCTTCAGCTATCGCCCTCACGCCCAATCGCCATCATCGCCGTCTCTCCCTTGCACCGACGACATCCATCGTCTCTCAGTCTTCTATCTGTCACCACCATCGCCGTCTCCCTTGCACTATGTTTCCTTCTTACAACTCTCAGCTTCACCCTCCTCAAATCCACGCTGGACTTCCTGGTTCAGCTACTCCCCAGGTTCCGTCCGACCCAAATTCGCTGCATATTTTGTTATGTTGTGTTTTGTTGCATGTTTAATCATTGTTGAAACTTGAAATTGAGCAGGTAATGGGCAACCTAGGTACGCAAGTGCAGCCTCAAATGGGTTTGTTTAGCTCACAGGGTTCAAGCGAATCTAATACCCATCCCTCTGTTCCTCGTTTCCCATATCAATGTCCCCAAAATGCAATTAATAATGTTATCCCTCAAATGCCTGGACAGTTTTTTGCACAGAATGCTGTAAACCCTTCACAGTTCTTCAATCAGAATCTTAACATTGGGTTTCCAAACAACCAGTGGAATTTGCCTAACAACAACTTGATTCAAACTGTGAATCACTTATTGCAAATGCAACTACAGATTCCAAATTTTGCTCAGGCTGGCCCTTCCGGCCTTCCGTTTTTCGCAACCAACCAAGCTTTTCAGGCTTCTCCTGCCTTTAATGGGAACACACAGTTCCTACCTGCCAATGGGGCCTCACAACAGACAATGAATGCAAATTTGTTGTGGCAACCTCAACAAGCGAATATACCTTCCTTGGGGCACCCTCATCTAAATCAAAGCACCTTAAGCTTTTCTGGTGCTGCAAAATCACAGGTGGACTATTACTGTTACACTTTTACTTCCCCATTTTGATACTGCATATTAAAGCTAGATTATCTATCACTAGTCCTGTTTCAAAATGGCTAGTGAAAAAATTCAATGTTACATGGAGATGTTAGGAATTAGGATCAATAATCATGCATTATTTTTCTGCTCAATCTTGTGTCATTGTTAATATTTGGATATTTTTCTTTTCCCAAAGATTAAATTATAAGCCATTTTGGCAAATATTTAAAAAAAGCTAGCCCTTAGTACGGAGGAAGAAGGGTTAAGAGTGTATTTTGTATGAATTTTCTGAAACACTTGTATGGATTCTGATGTACCCTGGGCTTTGGCTTTAGTTAAAAGCAAACAAACTTTGTGTTGATGTGCTATAGTTCACCCTTAATGTGTCTTGGTGCAAAACAAAAGTGTACATCATGAGGACAAGTCAATCGACTTTTTAGTTTTCAAAACATTCAATTAAGGTTAATTAAGGTTTCTTCTGAGTCATGCTGGAGGTTTTGGTTTAGGGTGGCTAACGTTATTGGCTTCTTAGTTTAACAGCATAAGTAGATGCTTAAAAATGCAATCAAAATTTTCCACTGTTCCTAAATAATTGCTACATTAGAATTTTCATGTTTGCCAATGCAAAATTCAAATTATATTATTAATATCTTCAATCATGTTTTAGTAAGAATATGAAAAGTGCTATTATGAAGTTTTTTATCGAGAAAATTTAACAAGATCCCTCATGACTCTTTTATTTACGTACGGAGTATAATCACAAAAGATCACAAAAGATTATCAAATGAAGGTGTGTGATTAGTGTAAAATTTTTACCATTGCGATTATTTTGGAACGAAGGAAGTATTAAGTGTATTATGCATGGTCTCTATGATAAGATATGCGATGCCTTTTATTTACATTAACTTTGCATACATGGATATTGCTGGAGGCTCTGTGCAACCGGAAGACCTTTTCCTGAGGATTTTTTTTAATCCCCTCAAACGTTGTAGGGAGGTCTTGTACATGCAACCAGAGTCAATACAAAAGGGCACCAGAAGAATTCTTTTAGCAACAACCTCAATAGAAACAAGGGATATGATAGACCACATACTGGGTATGCTCATGTAGTAGGTTTAAAAAATATACACATTTAATTAATTAATCAATTATTTATATTTTGTATTGTTAAGAATCTATTTTGATATTGTTAAAAACTTATACTGTCCCTTTTTTGTGATTAAATTTCTTGCAGATTTCAAAAGTTTACTACACAATCTTCTAAAAATGCTAATAGAAGCTTCAGGAATCAGGGTGACCGTTTAAGAAAAGGTTAGGAAATCAATTTCTTATGTTTGATTTATGTTATACTTTTACCTTTATGTAGTTCCTATTGTGTCGTCACTCGGCTTTAACTTCATAACACTGATTTTTCAATATAACAAAAACAATGAGATACTTCAATTTTTTTTCTTGACAACAATTGTAATTTGATGATCACATCTGAAGTTTTAAGTCGTTCAAGGAGTCGTTTGCTCTCTTCATTGATCGGTTTAAATCTGTATTTTTTTAAGGTCTGGGCTAATTTGAAATGTAATCTAAATCTTTCCAATCTATCTGAATAGAATCTGAGTGCATCTGATCTGATTCATAAAATTATTGCAATACTTTTGGGTACCCTCCCCTCCTAAACATTAAACCAAACAAGGGAAGGTATCCCCTTGAACAAACAGGTCCAGTCACATTCAATGACAATGTATGACCTGTATTTTGCGATGCTCTTAATACCACTTTTTTTCTCAACAGGACGCATTAAAAGAGATGGGACTGAAAAGTCTTTCAAGAAACAACATCAAAAGGAGGAAACAAGGTATTTTCAGGTTTTTAGATGACATATATTAACGTTTTTAGTACACCTAAGGCTAAGGGAATGTGAGTTGAACTGAACCGGTGACCTTTACCTCAGTCTGGGTTGTTATTTGACAAAATATCTCCTTTTTTTCTGAGTACACATAGAATCTTCTGTTGAAAACTTTAAGGTGTTGAATGCTTTATGCAAAGGCTCTATCTGCCTTGGATCATTAAAATGACTCTGTTTTCGAAGATTTAAAGGTTCAAATATTTGAAATTTATATATCATAGCTATTTTTATCAGTGCTTTAGCGCCACTAGTAATCAACTTGTTCTTCATTAGCAGGTAATGTTTTTTAGTTAATGGTTTCTTAGAAATAAAAATGGTTTAAAGTCTAAAAAGAATACATTTTGAGCTTAAAATTAGCACTTGGAAAATTATATATAAAACATTCACATGATATTTTATGAAGTTCATCAATCAACAAGATAGAAGCAAATAACAACAAATCCAGCAAAATCCCATGAGAACAACAAGATCCTACCCTTCATCATAATTCAGTGGGTGGCTACATGAACGGAAGTAACACTCACACACACACTCACAACCTGTCGTGTTTCCTATTTTGAGAAAAGGTGCATTTAATAAGCGTACTCACGCACCTCATCTTTCTCCCTTACCAGTTTTTCTCATCCACCCTTTCCTTCTCCCAAGTCTCACCCCATGTTTCTTTTCTCTCATTTCATCCAACTTTTTTTCTTTCACAGTTTCACCCAACCTTTTCTTAAACTACATGTCAAGTGTCAACGCAAGTATTCCAACTATTGTTAAGGCGTGTGTGTTTATATATATTTATGTATATATAAGAATGTGTGTCTATAGATATTTGTGATATTCTAGGAGGATGACTGTGTTAGTAGCTTTCAGTCATCAAACTTGAACACTTCTCAATATTTTAAACATTGGATGCTTGTACGATTATCAGCTTTTTAATGCACTGATCATTTTTTGGTTCTTATTATCATTAGACCAATCCCTTTCTTTTATACGGAACAAGAAGTACGACAATGGCGTGAAGAGCGCAAGAAAAACTATCCATCCAAAGGCAATACTGAGAAGGTTTTCACTTTAGTTTGTTGCATGTTAAATACCTCTATGATAGGAAGATAGCATTTAAGTAATGGCGTAAATCGACAAATACCTGCAGAAGTCACAAAAGTTGGCAAATATTGTAGACTGTGATGGTGCTGCAAAATTACGTCGCCAGGTATGCTTCAACTTGATATAATGATATGCTTCCCCCAATTTTCCTATTGCTTGGGATGATGTGAATCCTTGGGATACTTTCCACTTAAAATTTGGAAAAACACCACATAAGTATATTTTGTAAAAATTTTTGAACTCTAGTCAAGTGAAAAAAAGCACAGCCTGCAAAGCCCTACAATAGTTAACCAACCAGTAAAAATGGCTTTTCAGTTGGTGCTGTGCTTATCTATATTGCTATAGTTACTGTTTTGATATTTTTGTTGGAGTGCAAATCAGTAAGAGCAGTGGTACAGGATTGAGCAGGAGATGATATAGTTCTTGACCGTCCCAAACTTCGCTTCTTTTAAAACTATTGGAACTGTTACCGTTCTTTGTACCGGTTTTTCAGTATGTTTAATGTTTCACTTTTTCATACTTGAGGTATTGTATGTATGTGTACACATTGATGTGTATACATATGGTTCTAATTTTTAATACCTGGGTATTTGGGACTGATCGGGAGTGTACTAAATAGAATTGCTCCGGTACGGGTTTGAAACAACAACACACCCCGTAAAATCCTACAAGTGGGGTTTGGGTAGGGAAATGTTTGAAATGGCATGGCATAACCTACCATATGGCATGCTTCATGATCATTTCAAAAAAAAACCCTTGTGGTGATCTAGCCTTGAGCAATAAGTTTTGCTCAGATATGGGACAACTATGGCTGGCGATTGGGCAAGCCCAGAGGCATTATAAAGCGTACGCCATATTTCTCCCCAATAAAATAAGATTAGTGTTAATTTAGTAATTTAATTTCAAAATTTTAATGTTAAGTTACCCAAATAAATCCTAACCCTACTCGATCGCCTCTCTTCCGTTTTCATCTCTCTGCGATTCGTCTGGTCAGTTGATCTTCCCAGACAGTAATTTTTTTCTTGTTTTTGTTTTTACTGTCTTTATCACTACTGGCCAGCCTCTCTTACTTTTCTTTCAAAAAATGCCTCCCTCTACCACATTATTTTTGATATACTTTGTAAATAAGAAAATTGGTAAATAGATAAAAATGTGTGGTTGGAAGAGTGCTGGGGCTGGCGACTGGTGTATAATTTGGTGCACCCCTAGCATCTACTTTTTTTATAAGGTTTATTTTTTGGTGTAAATTTTTTAAAGGTTTATCACTTAATTGTGTATCCATTACTGTTTATAAAGGTTTTTAATCTGTCTTTATCCCTTCTCTTACTGTTTATTATTGCTATTATTATTATTATTATTTGTGTTCTTTTTACACCTTTTGTTTTTTACCCATTTGTATATGTTTAAAGCATACATTTTATTCTTACTAATTTGTCATTCAAACTTGAAAATTGTATCTACATAAATTTTTAGGTTTGTTTTTTAGTAAAACGTACTCAGGTAATGCTTAAATGGCGGACCCAACATGAAAATATTGGAGAAACTCAACACCCACAAATGAAGGACAATAAGAGATATACAAATATTTGAGATGCATTTGTTTCATGCTAGAATTTGTTTTATTTGTGATATTCTACTTTGCCAATGTACTTTTTTAATGTTTATGGATTAATTATGCTATAAATAATGTTATATATTCATTTTTAAAAATGTTTTATGCATATTTAAACATTTTTAAACTTTAACATTGAGGCTTACGCCTCAAAAACACAATAAGCTATTTTGAGCAATGGGGCAGGGTGTGTGAACACAGACCTTACCCCCCTACCTTGGGTCTGATATCACTTAACTTAAGAACCAGTGTTTTTCCATGATGTTGAAAACTTCGGTACGGTCAAATCAGAATGTCAGATACGTACTATATTAAAGGGTCCTTTCGGGTCTGGTATGGGTTTGAAACAAGGAATGGATCTTCAGAATGGGGCAGGAACATTGAATCTCATGTTCAGCCCTACTGCAAACAACATGCTTACTTTTTGGCGTGGAATTCACTTTCTTTTTTGTCTGTTCAGTGCCCTAGTTATTTCTGTCTAGTGCTCTAGTCTTGATTTACTCCCTTCGTCTGTCCACTTGGGTTTTGTAGGGTTTGGAATTAATTGTCCATTTATCCTATTTAGTAATCATCTCTTTTTTTTACTAGAGTAGGGTTGCATGCTTCACGACTCCCAAGACCCCAATGGGGTTGGGGTTATACTGGGTTTGTTGTTGTTGGTACCATATTTAGTAAACAAATTAACAGGAATCATCAAAAACACCTCCAAAAATAATACTCTCTATCCCTAAAAGAACTTCCTGCTTTTTTTTTCAGCTGTCCCAAAAAGTTCACATTCCATTTAGGGAAATGAATGAGTGGTTCACATCATTTCTCTGCAGTAACTTCCACCATACAATGTCGCTTTTTCTTAAAATCCGTGAAAAAGCAAGTGAGACTTCTTTTAGGGGTAGGACGGAGTACATTAGGATTGTGGCCATCATTGCAGGACATGTTTCTTTTAGGGGTAGGACGGAGTACACATTTCTTAAATTTTAAGTATTTTTAAAATGGGAAATTGAATCCAACAACCATAGGTACAAGGACATTGTACAATGAGAAATCCCTTTGGGGTGAGTGAGCATATAATAAGTTTTCTTTGGTGTGTAATGGCAATGCACTTAGTTGGAATCTCATTTGTGGTATCGAACACTTAACTTCCATTTAGTTAGTGATTCGTTTTTTCTTAGTGAACATATAGGTCTCCGATTAGAAGTGAACGGTAGTCTTATACCTACGATATTACAATAGAATAATTCATGTTAGAAAGCAAACCACTAAATTTGGGGAGTAGGAGTATTATGTAAAAATCGAAGCGGCATAACCTAGAGACTGGAATTTTTTTATGTGCAAATTTCTTTTCTATGACCCGATCCGGCGATCTTACGATTCAAGTCACTTATCAGGATGATTCGCACAAACTCTCGATCTTTTTTAGCTATTCAGATCGCAAAGTCTAAAATGATCTGCGCAATCGTATGATCCTACTCGCGATCTTGACTACTATGGAGTCGAGTATTTCTCATTTGTTTTACTAGTTGCAAATCTTTTTACTTTAATGATTTCATGCAACTTTTCAGCAACTCAAGGAAATATTGGCCAAACAAGCAGAGCTAGGTTGCGAAATTGCAGAAATACCCCCGTCATATCTGTCAGACATGGAGCGACCACACAATGGAGTAGACAGCAGAGGGGCATTCAGTAAGGAGAGATACCAATACAATCCCAACAAGAGGGGGCGATTCGGTAAAAGGAATAGCTTCTCTAAAAACCAAAGAATCGGGAACCATAATCCCAGAACTCGAGAGCCACGTGATGATGATGATGATCACCACTCAAAGGAACAGAGGTATGAAATCAATAACAGTCCAGCTTTGCAGAGCAAGAGAGAACCAAGTCTTTGGAAAAAACTGGTGGGTGGAGACATGAACAGAGATACGCGGCAACTGTTGCAAGTCTTAAGGTTCATGGTTATAAATTCTTTCTTTGCTGACAATGACAAGCCTCTCCGGTTTCCATCTGTGATTGCTAAAGAATCGGCACCCGAAGAGCCTTTAAAAGACGAGGAACGGAATGGGGATTTGGGCAAAGACAGAGGGACCATTGCTAACACTGAAAAGGAAAAACATCAAGAAGAGGGAGAAATCATTGACTAGTAAGTAGTACTTGAATTTCCTCTATGTGTGTGTGTGCATTCCATGCCTTTGCATGTATATGTATATATTTGTGTCCAATGTGATGGATGATTCTACTATTTAATTTTGGGCATTCTAACTAGTGGACTTCTATCTTCTAGTTGCGGTACTAATTGAACTTCTATGTTCTAATTGTGGCCTATATGGATCACTACTCCGCACTCTTTATCATACCACCTCTAGTATCACATTGTGTACATCTATGACTTGTTTGTAATGTTCGGTTGAAATTATTTTTAATTCAATTTATTTAAAATTATACACCAAAAGCTTTACAAATCAAGAGACAATATCACTTGTTTTATTTATTGTGAAAATGGGAAAAAAAAAGGGCAAAAAGTTTAACACTATAAATAGTGAATATGTAACTTGAATCTGGACAGAGGAGTGGAAAATGCGGGTTAAATTTAAAGTTTTCTTATCCTATAAAGAATGTTATTGTATGACTTTATGAATCATTTAGAAAATGTAGTTGGAATTCTTTAAAAAAGAAAATTTATGTGGGTCACATTTATTTAAAGGAAATAGTGTAAGGTTTATTTTGAGGCCAAATACTTGCATTGTTCTTAGGTTCATTCATATTTTACAGACCTTGTTAATGTGAATTCCTTAGTATTAGTATTAGAATTAGGATTAGGATCCGGGGATTAGGATTATGATTAGGTAATTAGGATTAGAATTAGGATTAGCTTGGGTGAAACATGCTTTTTTCCACATTAGCTTCTAAACCCAATAGCTTTTGTTAGAAGGAGCATGTTTTAGGCGTGGATCTTGGGTGCACGGAATCATCACTCTATTTTCAGATATCCTAATAAAAAATGCAAAGCTCTTTATGCATTGGTGCATGTATTTACAAGAAATTTGTTGGATTTTTTTAAAAACTTATCAGAGTATAAGTGAAGTTCTAAGAATATCAAGTTATATAATGAAGCATGGATGAATCACATGGCATACGAAGAGTGATTAGATAGGAGACGGAATTTTTTTGTCGCTAAAGCCTTAGTTCCGTAGGGGATGAGTTCTGTCGACAGAATAGATTTATTTGTTTTATATTTGTTTGTATTCCGACTTAGGGCTGAAATGTGATTTCTATTGCTACGTATAGACAATTTTTTTGCGATGAAATTATAGCGAAATTTTTATGCTGCGATTAATCACGCATTATATAGTACCATATGGCAATAAATATTACTCCGTATGCGTTGTATATCCTAAAGCCATAAACACTACATAATTGTCGGCGGAAAACAAAATATATAGAACCGAAACCGAAAAATATATAGAACTGAATCAAATTTAAACCGAAGTTAAATTGATCCGAACCGATTAAAACATACTCCCTCCGTCCCACTGTCTTTGTCCACTTACCTTTTGGTACACCATCCAATGCACTTCTTTAATCCATTTTATCTTGTAATTTGTATATTAAAAAATTATAGAAATTATATATTAATAATATATATGTTAAGACAAATCAAACGAGATCACACATGACTATATTTAGGTTTACATATTGAGAGAATTTGATGAATCAAAGTCCTTAGATGAACAGTTCCAAAAGTCAAAAATGTACAAAGACATTGAGACTGAGGTAGTATATCCAAACTGAAGAAATTCAATCCAGAATCGAAATGATTGACCCGATTGCCACCTCTAGTTTGGAGTACACAAATGTTATCCGTAAATTATTTTATTTATGGATGGGTGGACAAGCTCGCCTGGCATGAAGACACACATGTACCACACACGTTATTATTTTATTATTATCAAATAGGCAGCAAGCAAGATATAGCTAGCTAGCTGGCTACATAGAAGTCACACACATACTAATCAAAAACACACATGTACGGTGTTGCCGCCTGGCATAAATACATGGAGTACATAATTACATATTTTTATTTATTTATTTTGGCAAACATCCCGACCCTATTGTAGTGAGATTCAACTGGATTGTTGTTGTTGTTATTTTGGCAAACACACGTGCTTTATTAGATAAAACATAACTCGACCGAAGTCATCACTCGTCGTCATCGGAAAGAGCGGCTTCGTCCGCTGCTAAGGACGCTTCATCCACTTCATCCACATAGCGGGAGTTGAGCGAGGGCAACCCCGCCATGACCACCTCGCTTGCCATTTCCATGAACCGGCCCTCGAGACCATCCAATGTCAGTGTTGCCACGAGTTCGGGCGAACTTCCCGTCCCCACGGAGATCATCGTTAGGCCTCCACCCCAAGTGTCGCTGTGATAGTGTAACCGTTGTTTCATTCGCTGGTTCATGTATTCCCAATTGGCCGTGGCGAAATGAGCCGTTGTACGAACTTCACTGTACACCTACCATACGGGTACAACAAAACTTTTTTTACACTAATACTTGCAAAGTAGGTAGTATCTATCTAATTAAATCCTCCCTCGATCTCTCCCTAAAAACATCATTTATGTATTGACTTTATTCAAAGAAGGTGTATTTTAGTAGGTGTATTCTTAAGTCATTTTTCTAAATGATATTTGAATTGTTTTATTTCCTAAATAGTGGTTAATAATGTCCAGAAAGGGAATTAATGTCCAGTGATAACGAATATTTACTTAAATAATGACTAAAAGTGTTACATTGGAAAAAAAATACATATGATGCTATTTAAGAAAAATCATTATGTTTTAGTGTTATTTAAGTAAATTCCTCTTTATTTAAATCAAATAAAAACCAATATTTATAAGTATAAAAGTGATTATATTAGATTTATTTTGTTGGTAACTTTTAAAATTTTATTTCATTATACAATATAAATTAAGAGTAATTAATATCCAAAGTTCCTTCCATTTTGATTCAAAAAGTCAAAGTATAGGATGGAGGTAGTAAAAAGTAAAACAAACAAATGTTTTCCAAAGTTCCTTCCATTGGAAAATTACTTATGTTTTAGTCCTATTTTGTATAAATTTTTCTATGTATTTTTTTATATTTTAATTATATCATATTTATTCACAATTAACATATATCACATCATATCTTATTTAACAGTTCTCACATAATATGTATTCACTATTAACCCATTCATCATATCTTATTTTACTTTACTATCAAGTACTACTTTCGGCCCATAAAACTTTACATAAAGGAAAAAAAGCACAAAATAAAAATGTACAGAGTAAATTACCTTTACTTTATAACAAATTACTCTCTCCGTTCCTAAAAATTCTTCCTCTTTCATTTTTTTCCAATTCCCTAAAATACTTTTCTATTAAAAAACTACTTTTACCCATACTTTTTCATACCCTACCTATCACATCATACTTTTTCACTAAAAACTAAATTACCATATCTTACTTTTATCTATCACATCAGGGCAAAATTGGAAAGTTAACCAAAATTACATTTTCCTTAATTTGGCTAAAAGTCAAAACATGAACCTTTTTAAGGAAATGAGGGAGTAATATATAATGCATATTATTATGGATGAGTCATAATTTGAAATTAAAAATTTTTTTGGTTTTTGAAAATTTTTATGGAATGGATAGGAAGGATATGAAACAAGGTGCATTATTAGTGCATAGGTGCGGAGGAGACTACTCACTGCATTGGCGCGATTCATTCGTCGGGTGTTCCAGCAGATCATCCAGCCGCGGTCTTGACCGTCATTGTTGACGCCGCTATAAACGGCGGCTTCTTTGGAAGGACCGGCGAGCCTACTGCGGACATGAAGGAACCCGCCCCACTGCCCGTTCTGGATGATCTGAGGGTAAGGCGACCGCCAGACGCTGCCTTCCCACGTGTGGCTTCGGGAGAAGCGCACCGGGCCTCCCGTGGCGTTGAACACCTTGCACAGCGTGCTCGTCCCGTCGCCGTATGCGCCCTTGAGGTTGTGCACGTATGTGGTCACGTTGTCCGCCCTCCCGTTGGCGTTCCGGTACAGGAACGCCACTTCGGCTCGGTGTCGAGCCGTTATTTGATTTGGGAGTAAGGTCGGATAGACCGTCGACACAACCTCGTCCGTCACTGGGCTTCCAAACACATTGTTTGCCATGATATCTAATAATTACTCTTACTTAATAAACAATTTTCTTCTCTCTCTTTGTTCTTTGATTGCGATGGTGCATGTATATATGGATGCATATCCTATTTATAGTGGAGGAATCCTTGCTGAGGCTTCTCTTAGCAGAGTGATTTTGGAAACGACCGAGCCTAACCCAATCTTGTCGCTGTATTTGACATTGTTTTTACTACATATATGGAGATAGAAAAAATGTGAAATTTGTATTAAAAAAATACTAAAGTATACTCTCTCCGTCCACAAATTAACTTCTCGTTCACTATTTACGAAGTCAAACTTTATTCACTTTGTTGGCCTATTTTCATCACTCATTTGATAAAATAATATACTTATGTCACCTCTAATTTTGTAGATCTTTTAATATAGTTTTTTAATATGAAATTTTTATTTTAAAATTTTACACCATTTTTCATATAAAATGATTTGACAATAACTTCAGTCAATCATCGTAACGCACAATGGGATGTTTATTTGTGGACATAGGGAGTATGTCATTTCTTAATGTAGTATTTTAACTTTTTTATTTTCTAAATAGTACTTCACTAATGTCTAGTGGTGAGGTCCAATGATGTTAGACATTTAAATTGAACAACATCCACTGGCAATTTTCATTTTTTCAACATATTCCAATTTCCAACTCCTTTCCTCTAACTATTTTTAATTGTTTTTCCTACTTCAAGTTGTTTTCGTGTTTTTTCACCAACTTCTAATTTTCCTCCAAGTTATTCGTGTATTTTCACTCTAATAACTTATGCTTTCACGGATCGTTTGATAAAAAATATTTTTATTATCTCTTATTTTGTAAATTTTTGATATAATTTTTAAATATGTAAGTTTTATTTACTATTTTATCGTTTCGTCCCGAAAAAAATTACACTATATTCACTTCTCAAAAGTCAAGAAAATTTCTATTTATTTGTGTATTTTGATTGATCATATGGAATTATGATTTCAACTCAAGGAAATAATTGTGTACAAGGTAGTTTATATAGATGGAGATTCCTATATCAATAAGGATTCTCCAAGTATGGTAATTAACTAGAATAACAATCTTTCCATAACTACACATATTACCATATTTATCTAACATCTCCCCTCAAGCTGAACGCCGTGAAACGAGAGGAAGCTTGGCGACCAATGCAGAGTAGCGCGGTGAAGATAGAGCTTTTGTGAGAAGGTCCGCAAGTTGCTCCTGGGAAGGAACATACGAGACTGTCATTTGTTCAGCAATTACTTGTTCTCGTACAAATGGCAATAAGTACCAACATGTTTCATTCGCTTGTGAAAGACAGGATTCTTGGTCAAACAGATGGTGGACTGATTATCACAAAAAAGATGAGGAGGAGGAAGCTTAATTCGTAAGATGTCAAACAAATAGGTGAGCCACATTACTCCAAGATATCAGATTTGAGCCAAAATATATCAAGTAACCAGTAACAGACTGTCCATCTATCATATCATTTGCCCAATTCGAGTCAGAGTATGCCTGAATGACGTGTGGTCCACGCCGGAATATTAAACCACGATCAATGGTTCCTTTTACATAGCCAAGGATGCGTTTTAAGGCCTGGAAATCCCGCTCAGTGGGTGCATGCATGCGTTGACAAACATAGTTCACAGAAAATTGAATGTTTGGCCGTGTGTTCGTTAAATATTGAAGATATCCAACTAGGCTGCGGAAGAAGGTAGGGTTGTCAAACGGGGGACTCTCCCCGTCGTCAATCGGCCGAACAGGTAGCGGCGTAGGGGCTGTTTTGCAGTCCTCGACGCCTGCTTTATGAAGCAGTTCACGGGCATATTTCTCTTGAGAAAAAATCAGACAATCCTTTGTGCGTGTTACCTCAAGTCCTAAAAAATAGTGAAGAGGACCAAGGTTCTTCATTTGAAACTCTTGTTGCATCGCATGAATGAATGAAGAGATGAGGGAGGAGGCACTACCAGTAACAATGATGTCATCAACACAGAGAAGAACAATCAGAACACCAGGGGGAGATTTCATAACAAAGAAGCTTGTGTCATGTTCATTTTTCCCAAAGCCATAATCAACAAGGAAGATGGAGAGACGTTGATACCAAGCTTGTGGTGCCTGTTTCAAACTATACAAAGATTTCTGTAATTTACACACATGATGAGGGTATCGCTCATCGATATATCCTGGAGGCTGTTTCATATAAATTTCATCTGGAATAACACCGTGGAGAAAAGCATATGAGACATCTAGCTGATGAAGAGGCCAGTTCTCATTAAAAGCTAGGCAAAGAACCATCCGAATAGTCTGTTGTTTAACCACTGGGCTGAAAGTCTCAGAGTAATCCAAGGCATATTGCTGTGTATATCCCTTTGCCACTAGACGTGCTTTGTACCTAGAAACAGAGCCATCAGAATTATGTTTAATTTTATAAATCCACTTACATCCAATAGGAACATGATATGAAGGCGCCGGAACGAGATCCCACGTGTGTTGACTAATTAAGGTATTATATTCTTCATCCATGGCCTAACCAATAACTATTCTAGGAGGCTTCCTTATATGTAACTGGCTCTGTGGTAGGTGGGGAAGAGGGCTGAGTGGAGGTAGAATATAGTTTGGGTTTGAAAATGCCACTTCGTGCACGAGTTGTCATCAGGTGGCGTATGGGTGGTGGTGGGGGCGGGGAGGGGATATGTGACGATTCGGGACTACTCATGGTTGGGGAGAGGCTACCAAATTGCATAGGAGTGGGAGGGGAATGGGGCTGGATTGACGGGCAGGTGGGTACGGGGCTGGGACTAGGTGGGTTTCGTGTTACGCGTGGGCAGGGTGTGGGGTTTGGTCGGGTGGGTTTGGGTGATTGGGTTGGGTGGGTTTGGTTACCCGTGTGAGCGTGTACGAGAAAGAGGGGAAGGATGCCATGGAAGACCGGAGACAGAGTGGTAGAAGACCCCGACTGTTGAGAAACGGTGGAGAAAGGGAAGTGATTTTCTTGAAACTGGACATGACGGGAGATGTATATACGACCCGTGGTGCAATCAAAACACCGATACCCTTTAGAGGAGGAATCATAGCCAACAAATATGCAAGGTTTGGACCGGGGTCGGAATTTATTAGTGATTTCATGACGGAGACACAGATAGGATAAACACCCTAAAATTCAAAATATGGAGTAGTCTGGAGGTTAGTGAAACAGAGACTCATAAGGAGATTTGTGATTCAGAGACCGTTTGGGCATGCGATTGATTAGAAAGTTCATCGTGGCTAAGGCTTCAACCCAAAATTTTGTTGGGGAGATGTAGTGCAAAGGAGTGTGACAAGGGTTTCGACTAAGTGACAGTGTTTTCTTTCCGCTACACCATTTTGCTCAGGAGTGTATGGGCAAGATTTTTGATGGATAACCCCTAAACTTTGTAAGAACAAACCAAATTTTGTATTGACATATTCCCGCCCATTATCAGTTCCAAATATTTTAATTTGTCCATTGAACTGAGTTTGAACCATAGATTGAAAACTGAGAAAAGCATCAAATGCATTAGACTTATGTTTAAGAGGGTACAACCAACAAAATTTGGTAAAATCATCCATGAAATTAATATAAAAGTGATAACCTCCAAAGGAGGGTACAGAAGTAGGTCCCCATACATCAGAATGAACAAGTTAAAAGGGACAAACGCTTTTGTTTGCGACACAAGGAAGAGGAGTTTATGAGATTTAGAAACGGAACAAGAATTACAATGATCAAGTTCCTGAAATTTAAAACCCAATTGAGATAACAGAGACTTAGTGATTTGAATGGAAGGATGACCAAGACGGCAGTGCCATTGCTAGGGAGTAACTTTGACTGAATTGACCACTGGTGGCGAACTGGAGGCAGGGAGTGAATATAAGCCATGCTCACAAGGGCCCTTGAAAAGAACTTGGTTGGTGGTGTTGTCCCGAATCATAAAATCCTTGGAAGTGAAAAGTAGAGAACCGTTATTATCTTTGGTAAATTGATGAACAGAAAGTAGGTGAGAATTAATATTAGGAGAATGAAGAAGATTGGTTAATGTAAAGGTATGGTTTGGAGTGGTTGGAATACCTGAGCCTGTATGGTCAATAGGATAAGTATTACCTCCCACAGTTGGAATAGGGTTGGTGCCATGGTAGGGTGAAGAAGTATGTAGTCGAGAAAAATCAGACGTCACATGAGTGTTCGCTCCAGTGTCCAGATGCCACTTTGGATTGGTTTCAGCAGATTGGTTGGTATAGTATGCCTGTGGAGGATCGGAATAGGATTCATCGTAGCGGTGCCGATAATTCCAGACCGCATGGCCAGTCATCCCACACAATTGACACTTGATGCCGGCCCCACGTCCACCACCGCGACCCCGCTGATCCGCATGGTAGGAGGGCTGCCGGCCTCCTCTGCCGCTGTAGCTATTGCCACGGGAGGGCCCACCATGGCCACGATATGGCCCACTGCCACGACCCCGGCCAGTACCCCGTCCTGAGTTGGTGAATAATGGATGGTGAAGATTTGTTGGCGAGGGAGAACCAGAGTCACCAAGGTTCTCAAAGGTGAGATTTAATTCTTCAAAGAGCAACCACACAGACACTTGATTAAAAGTGACTGTTGCAATATTAGTGCGAATGTTTTGTTTGAGCGAGGCGTAGTCCGCCGGGAGGCCACGAAGCACACACAAGATAATATCTTGTCCAGAGATGTCCTCATGAGCTAGTTTAAGAGATGAGACAATAGTAAGAACAGTGTCCAGATATGTTTGCATTGAATCGGTACCCTTTTGAATGCTATGCAAGCGCTCCTTCAATTGAAAAATATGAGTACGCAAAAGAGAATTGTACCGTGGTTCTAGATGATTCCAGATTGCAGCAGAGGTTGGACGAGCATGAATATGAGTCTGAACGGTTGGAGAAACAATAGCAAGAAGACATGCCTGAATTTGAGCATCAACGAGCACCCATGAGTCATAAGCAGGATTGGGTTTCATAACCGGTGGTTCATCCTTTCCAGGGGCGGCGGCTTTCTTGTCCAAAACAAGAGATGGAAGAGGCACTTCGGAACCATCAACATAACTGAAGAGACGATGAGCGATGAGATTGGCGCGAACCGTGGCTGACCAAGAAGGATAATTGGTATCATCAAGTTTGACCGGAGTTAGAGACTGAAGATTCCGGAAAAACAATTTGAGACCCGTAGGCAGACGATCCATGGGATCAGAAGAGAGAGAAGCCATGGCCGATTGGTAGAGACCAAGTCGTCGGCGTGGAGGAGAGAAGACGGAACAATCGGCTGGGCCGATTTGTTTATTTTTTCTTCGTGTTATCGAGAAAGAGGAAGACACGGATCTCCGTGCTCTGATACCATATTGAATTATGATTTCAACTCAAGGAAATACTTGTGTACAAGGTAGTTTATATAGATGGAGATTTCTATATCAATAAGGATTCTCCAAGTATGGTAATTAACTAGAATAACAATCTTTCCATAACTACACATATTACCATATTTATCTAACAGATCATTTGATAAAATAAAATATTCTTGTCACATCATGTTTTGTAGAACTTTTGACGTAGTTTTTAAATACATAAGTTTATTTTTAATTTATTTACCAATCTTTAAATAAAAAAATTAAAAACACTTTAAATTTTGCTTCGTTTTACGTAAAATGTAAATTATGTAAAGACGGAGGAAATATCAATTTATAATTAAATGTCATTTTAAATACTCATAAAATTTTGAATCTCGTTTGAATATGGAATATTATCATTTTGGGATGGAGAAATTATAATTTTTTATTCCCTCGTCTTAAAATTAACTTCTCATTTGATTTTGCACGGTCTCCAATGTAACAAGTTGGTCATAAATATCTCTATTTATACTTCGTATATAAATGCATATTGTAAAAATAAAATATCTCAAACTTATCTTTCAAAATGAATCTATTGTTATTAAACTTATATGCAAATTCAATTTACTTTTTCGGTAATATATAATCAAAGTTCAAAAAGTTTTACCATTTCAAATTGGAAAATTAATTTTTAGGGAAGGAGAAAATAACACTTGAGTTTGTTTTTTCATCTTCAAACTCTCTTTTTAGGGTTCCCTAAGGGTATTCCAAGTGGTGTAAATCACCCTTCTCATAGACACACAAACACTTATTGTTTTTCCCTTTTTTATAAGGGCAATGCTAGGGGTACACCAACATGGGGTACCCCAAGTGTACACCAAGCCAACACAGACACACACAGACACAAAGTATCTGTGTTGCACAGACATTTGGTGTCTATGTGTGTCTGTGTTGGCTTGGTGTACACTTGGGGTACACCATGTTGGTGTACCCCTAGCATTGCCCAATACCTGCA